TGTAACCATTCTGTTTGTTCCGCATAATCCTCCCAAAGTCCCTCCTGGTGCCTGGCGGAGGTGGGTGATCAATACCGTTGAGCGGCAGGAGGTTGCCGAGCAGAGATAAGTCTACAACGCCATCCTGATATGGATATGGATTTTAACTATGGACTGATATTCTGGTATTTATTACTTAATGAATCATCGATTAGCTTATATATATATTTCGATAGATTGCGCAACCATTAGCAATTTTTTTACACGATCAGGAGGTGTTTTTTTACTTAATTTCAAAGTTATTCCTTTTATTTTAGCGACACATTATAATATTTAAGACCAAAAATAAATAAGGTATGCTCTCTACTCTATAGAAGAGTATTATATGGATCTATTATAGACACTGCCAGTTTACAAACATGTTTCTTCAGATGATATGTTTTTCTGTTCTAAATACAATTCGGGTATGAAGATTAATCCAATTTTTTTCTTAAAATTAAAGATACTTCGGCCAGTAATCTTTTTGTTATCTCGACGTTTCGACAAAAATATTTTGTCCTCGTCAGGAGCGAACAAAAATTTTTAAAAATTGGCAAAGCGTTAAAAATTATTCTAAGGTTGCAAGGGTATTCTTACACGATTAAGAACTATGAATGCCGGCCAGGCAGCCTCTATCTTTACGATAATTCAATTTAAGACCAAATTTTCTTAATCTATTTTGTAACAGAAGGCGGTAGAAAATGAGGGTGAGAGTTACTACGTCCTGTATTGTGTTTCTGCATAGGTTGGGCGATGATCTAGAGTTTTGAGGGATTTTCAGAAAAAAAGAATGTCGTCAGTGTCTTTGCTACGGAATAAACCGTTTGATAACAAATGGCAGATTGGACAGAAAATATTTTATCTCTATCTTTCTTGGTCTTTATTGATTTTTTTAAATACATGAAGTGACTGTAGTGTCTGGGAATTGTTTAGAATTTTCGATAAAGTCTCTAATTCAAGTCTCTAATTTCTCTATAAACCGATTAAGACCGAATTCTATATACAGTTACGAGCGTCATGCGTCATCTCTGTCACCGTTTGCTTTTTCTTTGGAATGGCGCTCTCATATTGGTTGGCTACGATCACGTGGCTACGATGGCGCCGCCACTACGCGAGACACTTTATTTTTGACTTTGCCCCCCCCCCCACTCGCTTTTTGTTTTTTGTAACTATTGTGTTGGAGCGGGTCGCTCCTTAAATAAATGCATATATTAGTTAATAACTAAATGGAATCCTCTCTTTCTTTTTCCCAGTAAGAGACGCCTACGGAAGCCAACAGTACATAGACAGATAAAGCACATAGGCTATAGTTATTAACTAATATATGCATTTATTTAAGGCGCCAATTTATAATTGTAACAAATAGTATTTGAATCAAAACATTCAATCAGGTAAAACACGGGCGTTGCCCGGATCATTCGGCTATATGCTATAAGATCAGGGATTTTTAGTCTTGTTCTTAAAACGAGACTAAAACTCTTATAAAAACATCTACAAAATGAAAGGACACATCTCCAGCCAAGATAGACGTAAAAACGATATTGACCGTCTCTACAATCAAGCAATATACAAAATATTTCCTAATACAGTAGAACTTGGGGATAATTCGAACGTATTTAATTCCAATATTTATCTTGGTTCCTATTTATTCAAAACGTTTTTAATTCGATTTTTTTGGATAATTCGATTTTTTTTTTGGTCTCTTGGACTTCGAATTATCTAAGTTAGACTGTATTCAAATGTATATATATTTGGTAGAGGAAATTGGAAGGCAACCAGAGAGAGATGGAGATGGCGGGCCCGGCTGTCCGCCGGGCGGCCGTTTGTGTGGCAAACAATCCTCCAACTGTTCCCAAAGTCCCGAGGTGTTAAGTGACGGACCCCAGGAGCCCCTTGGAATGTCGTTGATGTCTAAAGTGACACCCTTTAGCTGCCCATCTCTCTCTGGGTTGACTGTAGGTTTGTTTTATTATTCCAGGAAGAGTATATATTATGACATATATATAAATCAATTAGCATCTTAACGCCGTTTATATGTATTTTATTTTATTATTTACTTGTATGTACTCCTGTAGAAGGGAAGAGATGCCCGAAAGCTCGAGATTACGTTTAATAAAGATAAAGAAACTCATCTCCTGAAACCTATAGCATTTATTTGATTGATATCCAGGAGGTTTAAATTAATTGATAATCACACCCACACAATATAGTGAATATATAAAGTTATACATAGAATTCTAATTAATGTTCTTAGCATCCCTATAGCAGACGAGAGGAGAGGCAGCAGAATCTTGTCTTTTAGACATTCACTCTAATTTACACTTTTTATCCCACACGATTTAAAATAACTGAATACGTTTAAATATTAATATTTTGAATATATATATGTCGTAAACCCGGGTAAGCCAACAAGTGAGTTGGAAGCAGTCGGGGTTGAGTGGCAAGGCGTGCAGAGTGGGAAGTCCGCACGGGACAGTAAGGACAAAGTTTGGGATCAAAAGACGCTCTCCCAGGGCGTCTCAAGTGGCACCAGAACCAGGGGAAAGTTGAGGATTAACTGAGGAAAGCTCGGCGTCCTGCATGAAGCCGTGGAGGCAGGGAGGAGCCCAAACGGCGATCACGAGGGCCGCCGTGAGATGGCAACGAACCTAGTACTGAGCGGGCCCTGTCCGACTACTGCTGTCAACATCCGGACCAGCGCCCTTTTTTTTTTTGTCCCTCCCTGGATCCCCCGGGTGTCCGGTGGCAAGCTGGTGTCACTTTGAGACGACTAGAAAAGACGTCATACTTTATTACTTACATATCACATTGTTTAAATTACGATATATGTTCACATTTGTACTATTTTTTCATATATATATGTGTGTGTGTGTTTTGAAAATAGGGAAATCCATAAATATATCTTTAATTAAAAAGGCATATATTGGATCAAAATATAATTTAATATGAAATATTGATAAATTACATTATATTTTATTCCAATATATGCCTTTTTTTTAATGAAAATTTGAAACTATTATAGACGCGTATGATTCTTTTAAAAATTAAACAATTTCTACTGCCCTTATGGCAATGGAAAATTTTGTTTAATTTTTAAAAGAATCATACGCGCGTCTATAAGTAGAAATTATTTAATTTTTACAAGAATCATACACGTCTATAATAGTTTCGAATTTTCATAACAGATGGCGCGCTAATGGAGATCATAATATTCCTTTTTAATTAAATATAAAAGTGTGTTCACAGTGTGTATACAGTTATATTTAGTAGAGATATGGGGATCAAATAGATTTGTAGATGACCTCAAAACATTTTCCTCTCATCGAGGAAAGTTCTGGAACGGGGTTAAGAGAAGGGTGGCAAAGATTCATTAATACCATTTTTGATAATTTGCTGAAAATGGTAATAAAGACTTTCCCAAAATGAGTTTACTGCTATAACTCACAATATCCGCAATGACATTGTCTTATCCTCTTGTATATAGCCATCAGATATTTTGGAATGAAAAAACACATTTGTATAAAGTCAATCAGAGTAATTTCAAAATGTAGAAAAATACATATATTTCATCCTGTTGGTTTAAGTGGGGCGAAAGAGTCTCCATCTCAGATTACAATGATATACGAGTACTCACGTGAATACTTTTTTTTATTTATCAACTTTATTTATAGTGGAACCTCCACGAGAGGACGCTCGCGCTAGAGGACACCTCTTTACAAAGGACAGTTTTCATTTGCAAAATTACCATTTTTACTATTTAGCAATTCTCCAGTAAGAGGACACCTCTCCCTAAAAGGATACTTTGGCTCTACAATTAAATGTCTTTTACAGGGAAGTTCTACTACATATATAATTTTGGTTTTTCTCGGAGTTACCACACCAATCGTGTATGTGACTAATATAGTATTTTAATTAGGTTTTCCAGCATATACTATATATATATATATATGTGGTATAATATAATAATAAGGTGGGGAAAGAGAAATAATCACACCACAAGTTGGAAGAGAAGTAACCCAGGCAACCAGAGAGAGGTGGGGAGAGACGGGCCCGGCCACCGCTGAGCGGCCGACCGTTCGTGTCGCACACAATCACCAACTGTCCTAAAAGTCCCAAGGTGTTGACGGACGGGCCCCATTTGCCGCCCCTTGGAATGTCGCTGCTGTCTCAATTGACCGGACTTTACATCCCATCTCTCTCTGGGCTAGCTCTAGGTTTGCTTTATTATTCCTGGAAGAGTATATATTATGATATATAAATATATATGCATTATTATCATTAAATGTAAATAACTCTTACTTTTCAAAATTATTTTTCGTTGCAAAATCCATGGCGAGAAGTGCATGTATAGAAGACTGTAGATCTTAATAAAGACTTTTATGTGATTGGTAATAATGATAAGTTATCGTTATTCAAGATTTACTCTATTTTTATGTGCGTTTTAACTATACCGTAGAAATTGTTTAGAGAAAGTTAACATTTTATATTTTTGTGTGAAACTCTTATAGAAAAATATAATTAACACATTTTTTTTAAATAAACTTTTTGCCCTATTTTCTTTTTTTTTTTTTTCTCTATTTATAGAAAAAAAAATTAATAGAGAAATCCATAAATAGATCTTTAATTAAAAAGGCACATATATTGGATCAAAAATAATTTATTTATCAATATTTCTCAGTTGGCTAAACGCCAACCTTTTTCGAGATATTACAACATATTTATGTCAACAACAAATTCAGCGCCACATAACGTCAATATAATTAAGTTAAATATATTGACGTTAGGTGGCGCTCAGTTTGTTATTGAATATTTTGAAAAATGTTGGCGTTTAGCCAACTAAAATATGGGTAAATAAATCATTTTTGATCAAATATATTAGATAATAAAAGGCATATATTGGATTGGATTTATTTGTCATTATTTCGGTTGGCTGTTGTATTTCATTGTATATAAATAGATGTCTTTGTTAGTTTGTGTTTCAAGCCTGGATAGCTCAGTCGGTAGAGCTTAGGTTAGGCTTTTAACCTAACGGTCCAGGGTTCGGGCTCCTGTCCGGGCAATCTTTTCATATGCTCGGTAGTATAGTGGTTAGTATTCCCGCCTGTCACGCGGGCGGCCGGGGTTCGATTCCCCGCCGAGGAGCTTTTTTTTCGGTTCAAGAATAATACACTTTGGTTAGTAGCCCATAAAACCATATTCTTTCTAGTTTGTGTTGTGCTATCTTAACTTTTACTGTGAGGATGGTTACCGTTCAATAAAATCCCCCGTTGATCAGTTCCTTCTCCTATCTCCTTCTTTTTTCAACAAATATAACTAAAAAATATATAATGAAGAATAAAAGAGAAATATAATGAGTTAGCTAAGTTTATATTACTATATTTGAGGTGAATATTATGAATGTAGACGATAAAAACATGGCGAAGGAAGACGAGTTTCTTTTATTGATGCATTAGAGCAAGCTTTCGGGCAAAGGCCCTTCAACAGGCAAGATAAAAGATAGTGTCGTTTTTTATCTTGCCTGTTGAAGGGTTTTTGCCCGAAAGCTTGCTCTAATGCATCAATAAAAGAAACTCGTCTTCCTTCGCCATGTTTTTATCGTCTAAATTCAATCCAGGAAGAATTCTTTATCTATATTATGAATGTATCAATAAATATTTAAATTGTTTAACAACAAGATTTAACAAGGGAACCAAGCATTTAAATCGGCTTTGACACGTCATGAGCGTATATATATATAATTAAAAAAGGCAAATCCTGACCGTGCTCACATGAGAATTTCTAGTTGCCAGAGCATCATCTATTTTTTGACATATATATATGCACCTAGAGAGGCATTTCTCCCTTTAATTGGGCATCAGAACGATGCCACATTTCCATCACACTAGTAAAATAAGACTATACTAATGATGATAAAGAATGAACCACAACACCACTTTTCCATCACACTAGTAAAAAAAGACTTTACCAATGATGATAAAGAATGAACCACAACACCACTTTTCCATCACACTAGTAAAAAAAAGACTTTACTAATGATGATAAAGAATGAACCACAACACCACTTTTCCATCACACTAGTAAAAAAAGACTTTACTAATGATGATAAAGAATGAACCACAACACCACTTTTCCATCACACTAGTAAAACAAGTCTTTACTAATGATGATAAAGAATGAACCACAACACCACTTTTCCATCACACTAGTAAAAAAAGACTTTACCAATGATGATAAAGAATGAACCACAACACCACTTTTCCATCACACTAGTAAAAAAAGACTTTACCAATGATGATAAAGAATGAACCACAACACCACTTTTCCATCACACTAGTAAAAAAAGACTTTACCAATGATGATAAAGAATGAACCACAACACCACTTTTCCATCACACTAGTAAAAAAAGACTTTACTAATGATGATAAAGAATGAACCACAACACCACTTTTCCATCACACTAGTAAAAAAATACTTTACTAATGATGATAAAGAATGAACCACAACACCACTTTTCCATCACACTAGTAAAAAAAGACTTTACTAATGATGATAAAGAATGAACCACAACACCACTTTTCCATCACACTAGTAAAAAAAGACTTTACTAATGATGATAAAGAATGAACCACAACACCACTTTTCCATCACACTAGTAAAACAAGACTATACTAATGATGATAAAGAATGAACCACAACACCACTTTTCCATCACACTAGTAAAACAAGACTATACTAATGATGATAAAGAATGAACCACAACACCACTTTTCCATCACACTAGTGAAAAAATACTTTATTAATGATGATAAAGACTGAACCACAATACCAGTTTTGGCAAATTCAGATAAAAAGCCAACCTGTATATATACTCTATCTCCCATAGGAAGTCCTACTGTATAAGGTAATCTATAGAACGTACGCAGGAGGGAGGAATCATAGCTGTGGCAGGAAACAGCAGCTGTCTCTACAGATAAGACCATCAGCTGGTCAAACTCAGCTTTATTATCCCCTGGTCGGCAGACTTGATTCCTTCAATGTTTGCCCCTCTCTAAATGTTTCGGAATCTTCCAGAAACTATGTCAAATGAAGGGGTCGTTGGAAGAGTGGTCTAAACCAGGGGTCGGCAACATTTTGAGTCGGAAAAGTCAAAAATTACAATTTACAAAATTTCAAAGTTTTTAAAGAGCCACAACATTTTTTCTTACCAACAATAAATAGTACTCACATAAATAATATTTACGTATGGAACTATATAAAGAGCTTCACATCCAAAGAGCCGCATGTGGCTCGCAGTTTGCCGACCCCTGGTCTAAACCATTGGTTTTCGACCGCTACGACCCGGGATCGAATCCCGCATTTGGTACTTTTTTTCTAATTAAAAAAATGCTCCAATGGCCCCTGAATATTGCAAAAGTCCAACCCCACCAGCGAGTTCAAGTAACCAAATGGGCCTCTGGCACATTTCTAAGTACAAAAGTCGAACTGCTTTTCACATGTGTAGATATGTGGTGCACTTACAGTAAAAGCAGTTGCCAACTTCTACCCACCATGATTATCATGGCCTGTACCACGTATACTAAGAATAATAAAAAATGAACTTTTTTTACGTATCCCACGTATACGTAGCCATGATAATCATGGTGGGTAGATAACGACTGCTTTTACTGTAAGTTTACCACATGTTTACACAGGTAGAAATCAGTTCGATTTTTTCACTTACAAATGTAAAAATTATATTTTTAATATTATGTTTCTAAAACATATGATTAAAACCTATTTATACAGACCTTGTGTACTGCAATGAATAAAAATTGAAAGAGGCGGGGTATGACTCATCAATTGTAAACCCACCCAGCGGTTTCGCCAGTTTTAAATAGGGTTCACCACTGATGAGCAATTCTCTCCCTCTTTCTTTTTTTATTCATTGAGAAGTATAAAAAAATATGTAAAAATAGAGTTTTTTTTATTACGTTTTTATATTTAAAAAGTGTTTATAATGTTCAGCGATATATGGCACCAAATTTAATGACGATACTTACATATGTATCAGAGCCCCGTTTGGTTACTTGCACTCACTGGTGGGGTTGGACTTTTGCAAGAATCGGGAGCCATTGGAGCAATTTTTTTTTTTAATCATAAAAAAGTGCCCAATGCGGGAATCGAACCCCAGGTCGTAGCGGTCGAAAACCAACGACCATCCTTCCGTCGACCCCCCACTATATTAATATGATGAGCAATGCACGTTTTAAAATCAATAATCTGTCAATAATATTTTAAAATATTTTCATACACAATATTATTTCCGATAGATGGTGCTAGTCATCATAAACCTTCATTTGGCTAGCCTAGAGAGAATTCTCGGGGAAGATGGATAATGAAGATAAAACTACAAAAAGCGCAATCCAATTATCAGAATATAATCCGAACTTGACCTAAATACTAAGTGAGGCAGTTTGATATATAATGAATATGTGAATATTTATCATACAAATTGTTGCATCAATTTTGATGCGCCCTCCATTCATTCAAAATAATCTATGATATTTTAACGTAGAAAATTAAGGAAGACAAACCTCAGGATGACACGGCAATTTATTTAATGTAAGCACAAATTAAAACTAATAAAATAGCAGCGAGGCAATGAGAAAATTGTACAGTGTATCAAAATACAAATATCAAAAATTTAAAAAATCTTTTCATAGAATAATAAATTAATCTGCTACAATATTTTTAATTTGGTTAAAAATTAATATTATCAGATTATGTATGAACTATAGTATCAATTATTTTTATAGTGTAGCAAATTATTTATTATTTTGTTAACAGAGCATCCATTTTTTTATGTTTATATTTTGTTACTCTGTAAACTTCCCTCGTTGCTTATCTTTTGTTTATCATTCATAGTTTGTTCTTGCCTTAAATAAATTGCCGTGTCATCCTGAAGTTTGTCTTCCCTTAATTTTCCACGGGTAGTTGGCGCTCTGCGCTCCAGGAACCTGGGTTATAAATATCTCTCTATCTATATCTTTATAGTATCATTCCTTTTATAACATTGTGTTTATTGTTTAATTTGGAGAGAGAATAGGAAGCGAGAAGATTCAGGATCTCCAACTACGAGGAAGGCAACAAATAAATAAACACAATAACTTTGAAAAGTAATTTACTTTTATTTATATTTTTATCTGCTTTTTATTTGCTTTAATTATGGAGACCCGCTCGGGAAACGTGTATAACACTAAGAAGGAGAAAACCAAGGTTGATTACCCTACAGATCTGCAACTTGGTGCAACAATTTATATACATTAAGAAAAAGGCATCTCCTTATCGTGCAACTGAAAGTTGCTAATGGCTTGCGCCATCTATCGGAATAAATATAAACTATTCTCGTTGATTTTTAATTAAAAAACGAGAATAGTTGATATTTATTCCGATAGATGGCGCAAGCCATTAGCAACTTTCAGTTGCACGATAAGGAGATGCCTTTTTCTTAATTTATGCACCTTATCCCAGTACAATATTACATTTGTACTATTTTTTCACATAATATATATACAGTTGAACTGGATAATTCGAGGCTCTAGGGAACAATAATAATAATAATTCTAATTTACCAAAAATTCGAATTAAAAATGTTTTGAATAAAAGGCTTAAAAGTCTAGGGACCAAGATAAATATTCAAATTAAAGGCGTTAGTGTTGGGACACCTCGTGACCATAATATGCCAAAGTAACCCAGAACCCCACCTAACCTAACCATATCCCACATATGTCCATCTAAGCCACAAACCTCTGGTGATTGCGAGGTGTTGTGATGGAGCCTGAAGCCACCTTTAGCCCTGGCAGCACTGAGCCAGAGACCGAGATCCCCTTCCTGTAATCAAGTCACCTGACCTGTGGTGGATGACCTGGCCCCACCAACACCAGGATAGTCCAAGATGGACTCAGACACCCCTCCCTGGTGATTAAGTCACCTGACCTGTGGTGGATGACCTGGCCCCACCAACACCAGGATAGTCCAAGATGGACTCAGACACCCCTTCCTGGTGGTCAAGACACCTG